CTGCCCCTCTTTCGTTACAGCTCTTCTCCCACTCACTTCGAAGGTTCTCTCTGTGACATGGGCTGTCCCCATGCCCGGGCTCAATCTGAATTGACCTTCATCAGTGTATAATCATCGTAGTGTACAGAGCCTAGATCTGAACATAGAAGGTTTTATGAAATGTAATTAATTTGGAGCAAATCAAATCCGATTTAAAATCAAGATCACCGATACTTTAATATCCAATGTTCCCAATGATCTATTAAATAGGAGTACAAGCGGAAATGGGATTCGTGAAATTTTTTTTGAAATGTAATAACCACCTGCACCTGTTTGATGGTATGATCAGAGGATGTTGGCCTCTAAGAGGCTCGTTCTGCTCAAAGTTAAACTCAACGAGAAAGAGTCCATGCCCACCCAAAGTTAGCGGCACAGTGCTCAGGTAAGAGCACTGCGAGCAACAAGGCATCCATCACCCTTCTGGGGTCCTCTGCTTTATGTGACATATGGTATCACTCTCACAAAGTCAGAGGGCACTGTCCGAGCTTGTACCTCACATGTCTTCCACACCACAAGGCGGGGGGCTGGATCACTTTTCATTTTTGGCTCTTTAAATGATATAAATAGTTATATATGAGCCCAGTGCCTGGCTTGATCTCCAGTGCTAATTGTATACGTCATGCATCTACATACACAATCAAGTTATGATGTTGAAACTCTAAGTACTTATACAGATAAGGAACTGCTTTACGTTTATACCTCTAAAGATCACAGTATCTGCTCCTGTAACTTACTAAATTTACCCCATTCATTGTTATAAATAAATGCAAATGACAGTTCAACAAGTTACATCTTTTTTTAAAAAGTTATTTTTGAGAGAGAGAAAGAGAGAGAAAAGGAGGAGAGGAGGCGCAGAGAGAGAGAGGGAGACACAGAATCTGAAGCAGGCTCTAGGCTCCGAGCTGTCAGCACAGAGCCTGACGCAGAGCTCGAAGTCATGAGCTGTGAGATCATGACCTAAGCCAAAGTCAGATGCTCAAACAACTGAGCCAGCCAGGTGACCCAGTTACAGCATCTTCTGCCATCGGCTGTAGAGTTTAATCACTGTTCTTCAGCCTTAGGGAAGTAGGATAACTGACCACGAATGCTGATACTGCAAGAAACTGGCTGGAAGGGAGGCCCTTATTTCCATCAGGTGCACCAAGAGCCCCCACGTGGACAGAGTGTTTCTGACTTCTGAGGCAGCATAAATACTGATGATATATACTTTTAGCTCACCGAGTTAAGAAATATCTGGCATCAGGATCTTTGTGCTTGGCTGAGAGGAGGGCTGCGTGGCAGCCTCCCCTGAGATGCGTTCAGGAAGCTTGGACCACCCCCTCGGGCGGGCTCAGCTCAGACCCTCGGGAGACAATGGTGGACGGCACACACCCCGGCCCTTACAAGGCTTCTGGGCCACGGCACTGATGCAAGGGTTGGTGGCGCAGACCTCCCCAGGATTTCCCAGAGGCGCTGTAAGAGGCCTGACCACTTGGCTTCTGTTGCTTCATCTCTACCTTCTCTCTGTCTTTGCCTTGGAGGCTGACCTGTGTGGCTGGCGCTCTCTGACTTCCAGTTGGGTTTCGTCAGAGAGGGGGGAGGAAGAAGATCAGAGGCAGGGAAAGGAATGAGGTTAGGGAGATCCCTTCCCGTCCCTCACCACAGGCTGGATATGTCCCTCTACCAAAGGCCGTTGCTCCTGACTGGAGGCGTTCTCCAGACAGCTCTCTCTCTCTCTGGGTCCTGACAACGGGCCCCTCCATTGACCCCCTGGGGTTCCACACTGCCGCTACTGCTCTTCTCATGCCTTGCCCACACCTCTGTAGACAGTCCCACAGTAAGCTCCCACCCAGAACCCAGCTTGAGGGCGCCATGTTTTCCCTCAGGACTCTGACTGAAACAGCTAACTTTCAATGGAGTTTTATTTTTCTTATCCTCTAAAGAGGTTTCAGTCTAGTCGTTTGTTCCAAAGGGGTATGTCAAAGCCATACAACTCAACCACTTCTCAAACATCTTCTAGAGAACTTTTTATATCTACTATGACAACTTTTCACCATGAGGTCAGACAACACAGAATACTGTGGAAGTAACCATAGTGCCTTGCAGGAAAGAGAAAGAAATATTTTCTTATAATTGAAATTAAACAGTACCCTCTGAAAATAAGACAAATACAGCTAGCTTTAATTGTAAGAAGAGATGGTTAATTTAGACGATTTACACCATTTACTTAAAGGAGCGACTAGTTGTGAAGACTGTTAAAAAAAATACTGTGTATCACTGAATCTGAAATGAGCTCAGCTGCAAGTTGAACTATGACTTCAGAGATGTTACAATGTGGGGAGAAAACAGTGTACCTTAGAAATAACGAAATACGGTATGCCTCACAAAAATGACTCACTCACTGTTTTGTGCATAACCTTCCCCAGGGAAAAATGATACATTTTCTTTTTATAGAGAACCTGTTGCTTTATTTTTCTACTGAAAAGATGTCACGGCCATTGGAGATACAGGTACAATAATCCCTTAACTAGGAAGTGAGGGCTCAGCTCCCCTTCTGATCATCGATGTCGGATTTTTGAGCACACTTCAACCGTTACTCATCATCTAGCCTCTCGATACCATTGTGATTTCTAATTTGAGTGGAAATCTGGAAGTTTGCCTGGAAGTCTCTCTTTCTGTCTGTGGCATCATCTCAGCAGTATTGCCTTTAAAATTTTTTTTTTTAATGTTTTATCTATTTCTAGGAGAGAGAGAGAGACAGCGTAAGCAGGGGAGGGCCAGAGAGAGGGAGTCACAGACCGAAACAGCCTCCAGGCTCTGAGCTGGCAGTCAGCACAGAGCCCGACGCAGGGCTCAAACCCACGAACCGCGAGATCATGACCCAAGCGAAAGTCAGACGCTCAACCGACAAAGCCACCCAGGTGCCCCAGCAGTAATGCCTTTTAATGAAAGGGTCCGTGGTTGTTTTGGTTGAGGATCTGTCACAGCCTTACTACACGCTACTGCCCAGTGACCAGGGTATAATCCTGGTAACTCAGGGAATGAGCTGGAAGCGTCTTTGGTGCCCAACAGGCTAATGGGCACTTCTCAAACTTACTTCGATCCCCCACTGGCTGGCTGGGACGCCGGTCTGAAGTCCAATCAAACGTGCGACCACTCATTTACTTTAAGGCTGTACCTTATTCACAGGGCTTTCACTCTGTCAGTAGGTGGGTCGGTAGGATACTCAGAAGGTGTGAAATGTGTATAACGTACTTATACGTTGACCTGATAATCAGTTCCTACCAAGTGCTGCTTTTGGAAAAAAGTCATCAGTTTGAAACACCATACGCCTAATAAGGTGTTTATCTGTGACGCAGACAGGAAGTCCTTCCCTAAAGCAAACCTTACTTTGCCCTTGAGTATGTGGGGCGCACACTACCCCCCTCACGAGAAGCCAGGCTTCTTCCTAGTTCTGCTCCAAGCCGCTAGGTAGGGTGGTGCGTGTCCACACGCCCAAGGCTACAGCTGGGTGCTCTTTGTTAAAAGGTCTGAAAGAGTCTCAGCAACGCTCAGTGTCTGGAGCTGGTTCTTTTCCAATGGGAGGGTCGGTAACATCTGGGCGGCTGCTCTGATCCATAAGCATTATTTTTCAACACTGCTGATAGAACAGTATCCTCATTTGTTGTAAAAGGAGAAAATCAGTTTTTATTGGCTGAACTTGTTAGCGAGGAGCCTATGGAAGGTAAGAAATGTAAAGAAAGGCTTTCAGACTCTTCGGCGCTTGGCTGCATTGAGGGCAAGCTACTGGCCACTCTGAACGTCAATGACTCCTCATTATGCAAGAAACCACAGGGCCACTCGGCTCCCAAAATCATGTAAACGATAAACTCTGCGCACACACCATAAACTCTGGTCCTTCCTTGCCAACGGATGCACTGTGGGCTTAGAAGCTCACTGCTGGATAGTAGGAGGGAATAAGCCACTTTCTAGAATGCTGCAAACTGTACTTCTGAACGAACAGGTAGAGGATTCAGAAAAAGCATGGCAGAAATGGAGAAAGAAAAAGAGTAGAAGTTCTAGAAGTATTTCTGGCGTGTGTGGAGCCCTGGTTGGAAACAGACCCCTTCACTGCGGGTGATGTCCCAAGTAACAATTCACGTTAGACAACACTGCTATGAAATCTTAATCTTCCTCTCAGGTATTTCTTCAGCTTGTTTTTTTACAACTGCATTCATTTTGCCTCTCATAATGTGATCTACGGGTGTGAGTGTGTGTGTGTGTGTGTGTGTGTGTGTATGTGTGTATCACCACTTTGTATCCCTGGAATAACAAACAAAACGTAAATCCATCTGAAAGAGCCACTTCAGAAAGGTCACATCTGGCCATCACTGAGAATGAAAACGAAGGACTCGACAAAATGAAAGGAGAATCAAGCCAAACCGTGATAATCCGTGACAGCTGGAATATTAATAGAGCCCACAGAACAAAAGGAGTGGAGAGACACTCACAGAAGGAGTGTGTATTCATAACATGTTGCCGAAAGCCGGGACCCGGGTAGCTGTCTCGTAAGAAGGAAGACGAGCTGGTATCAGAAAGGACTCCTGGAGCGGGAGAGACAACCACCTTTACTGGAGTAATACGACATGGCGCACCTCCCGGCTGGAGGGGACGTGGTCGCCCCGGGGTGTGGAGGGAGGGCAACACCGGGAACCCGACCAGGTGTGCCACAGGGAAACCTGTGTTACCTCCTGCCAGAGAACTGCCAGAAGGTTAAGACAACGGATTCAGCTAAAAAATCGAGAAGTCGGTCAGTGACGAGAAGCTTCCAAGGGTCCGGCTAGTGCCCTCTTGTACAAAGACAGCACAGGCGGAGCTGGCATGCGTTGTTGCACTGTTGTGCATCTGCGGTTCTAAGGGCATGTGACTTTGCCGATCTGAGAAGTAAAAATGAATTTTCCCGAAACGCAGACTCTCACCCTGAAGTCCCCGGGGAACCTTACCTTCAGCGGTGCCCGAGAGACCATCGGCTTTGAAGTTGCTGGTACTTTTCTTCCTTCGGTGCTTCTTTCTGTTGGCGTGAGGGGAGGGGGGCGGGTCGAGCTTGGGGCTGGTGGTGCTGGAGATACTTGGGCTGGAGCACACGGAGTCGCCCAGCCCCGTGTCTGCCATCGGACCGGAAAAGGCAAAAGAACGCAAAAGTTAACACTTTTAAAAAAAAAGCAGACTTTGCAAAAGTACAAAAGCAATGTTCCTCACATATTGTATCAGGCCCCACGGGTACTACATTAACGTGAGATCACTGGATTGGAGGCCCAGGGCCTCCAGTATTCAATGTTCATGGGGCCACTTGCTCTCACGGCCCGCCTGACATTCAAAAACAGGCCTTCACTTCTGGATCATCTGTATGCTGTGGAGAATTTAAAGTTCTCTATTTTGTCCAACGGGTGTTCTGGAAAAGGAAAGTGGGGAGTTCATGCTTTTTATTAGTTTATTTTTGTCTTCTTATAATTATGTTGATATATTAAAAGTGAGTTAGAGATGTGTAAGAACGCATACGAAGGCATCCTTGTGGGTGGGTCTGGTTCCGTGCGTGCACAGGAGATGGAGGGGTTCCAGATGCTCTTAATGTCCACCCTCAGCATTAACGTGACTGCAACACCCGTTTATTATTAGTGAAGAACGGCACACCACTTCTCCCTCCCACCATAGTGGGGCCTGCCAATTCTTGATTCACTGAAGCAGTTTATACAATTACAAAACCAGCACACAAATGTGATAATTCACTACAGGTGAAATTATGAGGCCCAATTTATTAGGCCCATTTTCCTCTTTATCAAAGAGAACAGCAGGGTAGTGCTTAAAAGACCAGGGAACGAACACGTAATTCAACCAGAATGAGAAAGCGCTTCTAAAAAGTGACGGAGACATCATCCAAACACCTGCGAAGACTGAAGAATGCCCGACTGCATCTCTGTAGCTCAAAAGGCAGAAAGTTCATTGCAAAGTATTTAATTTGTTCCACTAGTATGTTTTGAACACCCACAGTGGGGTATGTTTGTAGATGCTTGGGACCCATCACTGAGATGAAGAGTCCTTCCCTAGACACCCTAGAAGGTGCTAAAGTGTCACGAAAGGGAGCACGGAGGCTGCGCCACCCCAAGGTCCCCGCGGGATAACCTGGCAATATCTGACGGCACAAGACCCGGGAGACTGGTCGACAGGGCTCACGGAAACACTGTTTTAACCATTTCAAGGAGTCTCAGGAAGAATAACAACTGGGTGTCTCAGGGACTTTACGTCCCCAGAAGCAGACTTCCCTCTACGAACACCATGTTCCTGCCTTCCCAGGCCAGACATCTGGTAAACCTCTCTGGGTAACTTTGCCCAAGGAGTAGCAAGCAGGCCTGAGTCCCCTCTTGGCTGCTCCTGTGTCTGTTTTGGGTGAGGGACTCAGGCCTAGGAAGGCTGGGCCGGAAGAGGAGTCTTTATCCACAAAGTCACCATTTCTTTTTGGTATGGCCTCTCGAGCTCACCCCTGCTCTCCACATAAGCCGCACTTGCCCTTGGTCTGGTCCTTGCCTCCAGGACTGGATGGAGCAGCTAATGTGTCTCTTTTCTTCGGGCATTCCACCTTCTTTTCCCAGACTTTTTTCTAGAGTACTAATCTTCTAAAAGCAGCAATGCTTCTACATATTTTAAAAGCACTAGATACCACTGGCTATCCGATGAAAACTAAGTATCCTAGAAGATAAGGCAATGCTAATTAACATGTTGCACATAATTTCAGAGAGTTCAGAGTCCACCTGGCGCTGCTAAGGGGTCCTGGGACAAGAGCATTAGCTGGTCCTAAAGCAACCCTCCTGGGATGTGACTCTACGCTCACACCTTATAATGAATTAATTTTTGTCTGTTACACATATTTTCTGACCAGGTTTCAAAAGTCTTCATTCACTCTCTGAGCATTGAGGGTTAAGAGCCTACCCTGTGTCAGGCATGGCGACGGGCAATTCGAGAACAGCTGTCACAACGATCGTCCCCACCACCCTCGGTGAGCTGAACCCTCATCCTGGAGGCAGAAGAGGAAACCAGCCAACGCCAACTGCCCTCTTACTATTTCACCCTGGCCCTTGGGCGTCCGCTCAGTTCGGCGCACCACTTTCATTCCCAACTGCGCGTCCTGACCCACATGTCACCCCATCGCTGTGATGCCTCCTCCCAAACTAACATTTCTCATCCCTGAACCTGAAGATGGGCTTCCTGCACGTGGACACCTGTCAGTTATCTGTATCATCTAAGTGGCACGCCTGTTCCCCAGGGCAGCTAAAGACGCGCCCTTCCTCCCAAACAATGATGTGCATGAAGTGCCTGCACCATTATGACATAAGCATCCCCAGGTCCCTCCCATTCTCCAGTAATTCTTTTCTTCTTCTTTTAAAGTTTATTTATTTTATTTTTTTTTTGAGAGAGAGAGCATATTGGGGAGGGGGAGAGGGAGAGAGAGAGAGAGGGAGGGAGGGGGAGAGGGGAGGGAGAGGGAGAGGGAAAGAATCCCAAGCAGGCTCTGCATTGCCAGCACAGAGCTTGACATGGGGCTTGAACTCACGAACATTAGAGATCATGACCAAGAGCTGGACTCTCAACTGACTTGAGCGACCCAGGCGTCTCTCCAGTTCTTTTTTAAGGCACGTACCAATATTTCTCTAGAAGATGCTCAGAATTCACACGCAAGTTACGCACAGTCATAGAGCAGCTTCCGTACGTGTGTGGTGGCTCTACTTCTGGCCACTCTGTGCTCTCCCCGCACTCCTTCTGCCCGTACCACAGCAGCACACGGTCTGGGATGCAACGGCTGGGTCGTCCTGGTTCCTCGCAGGGTGGGGAACGTCCCCCCACGTCGTTGTCCTTCACGACTGCCTTGGCTATTTATCCTTGGCTGTCTCGAGCACACAACTTGGTATATCCACCCAAGTCAGCAGAGGAGACATTAAACAGGAAGGGGTCAAAACAGAGCCCCAGAATTCAGAGGCCGTAATCCACAAACCGGAAGCACTGGAGAAACCACAGAATAAGAACCCAGATACTGCGGGTCACCTGTGAGCTCACAGGTCCCGGACTTGCCGGTACATTTCCGCACAGTCTTGTCAAACACGTTGCTGTAGATGGGCGCCCAACGCAGACATGTTTTTGACAATTTTAAAACAATAAAGGGAAATGTATTTAATGCTTTTTCTCCTTAGTGAACTATTCTGTTTAATAAAATCACCGTTTCCTTTTCTGTATATATATACAAAGCACTTCTCTAACAATCTGTTTATTTTTAATGTTTTATTTATTTTGAGAGAGAGAAGATCCTGAGCTCTCTGCTGTCAGTGCAGAGCCCAACGTAGGGCTCGATGCCAGGGGACCTCAAGATCATGACCTGAGCCGAATTCAGGAGTCTGACTTTCAACCAACTGAGCCACCCAAATGTCCCTCTCACAACGTAATTTAGAATCCTACTTGGGAATGACCTTGAACTCACTGGTATATTGGTCACAATTCACCTTCCTGTGGAAGAAAATGACATGTGTCTGTTTCTAGGGATCTCCCTCCATTCCAGATGCAGAAAACTGTTCCTGAAGGTCATTATCAGGGACACGGTGATCTCATTTCCAAGTTTTCTGGGCATCCTGGAATATCTGGAATTCAGGGAGAAAGCCCTAGACTCACTTGAAGCAAGTAGCCACGTGGCAGTCTTGAGAAGGAAACACATGCCAGTCATGACACCCACCTTCCCCCCAGGGGCCAGTAGCAGCCTTGACCACCTTCTCTTCCCCGGGAACCTTCACTGCCAGCACATCCATCCACCTGCGGCTCCGTATTTCCGCTAAGCTACAACTCTCAGTCGAACCCCCCCACCCCCGCCGCGCCCCCCCCCCCCCCCCCCCCCCCCCCCCCCCCCCCCCCCCCCCCCCCCCCCCCCCCCCCCCCCCGCCTCCCGCCCTCCGCCCAGGGCCATCTGGTAACACCTGCAGACACTTTCGGTTACAGACAGACAGCTGGAGGTGCTACAAGCACCGAGTAGGTCGAACTCAGGGATGCTGGAAAACACACCACGACACAACAGATGGCTCCCACCACAAAAAACCGTCCGCTCTAAAATGGCAATGGTGAGAGATGTGCGGGATCAGAACTGCCTTCCGTTCTTCATCGCCCTCTCAGACCCGTCCGGGCGTCATGGCTGTCTGCGCCAACTCCCTCACACGAGCGAAGTCCGCAGGACACTCGCTTCCCCTGTTAGGACGGGGCTCTCCCCTGGGGACAGCCCTCCCGGATGATGGCACTGGTACCCCACCCCCACCCTCACTGGGCACACAGGTGCGGCTTGCAGGCCGCTCTTCCTCCAGGCCCCGCCCCCGATGCCATGCCCTGGACGGCTCTGCTCACGCCTGACGACGCCCTGGCTGACGACCCCCGGGCTTGCGCCCCTTGGCTCACAGACCGCTCAGCAGCCGTTCATCCCGTCCTCAGAGTGATGCCATCCAGGCCCGCTGAGGTGCCCCCCACTACAGCGTCCCGCCCTCCCAAGCCTCCCCCTCGCTAAGCTCTTTCCTTCCCTCCAGCCCTCACGTTTCTAACCCAGACCCACCGCCATGAGTCGGCTGCTCTGGGTCTTACTTTTGTCCCCGCAGCTCACTCATACCAGGACACACACTCTGAGGGTCATTCTGGTGACACTCACCTCCCTTCACCCTTCCTGACTCTCAGTCCCACTTGACTGCCAGTTTCCACTCCGCACCTGCTCGGTGCCCGTACTCAGGTCCTTCGGGGAGATAAGAGCCTCATAGCCACTGGCCTTGTCTACCGTTATGACCTCAAAGCTGGACCGGGCTGGACTGGCGGCCAGACCTCTAGCGTGCCCTTGGATCCACCTGAAAACTGAATAAAGCCACTCCCTGCTCTGCAAGAGGCTGCAGCACACCTTCTCCATGCTTCTTAAACGCCCCACACCTCACTCCATCCCCCACAGAGATGTCATTTTTCATTTGCTGAAGACAAAAAAAAGAAAAACAAAAACCCTCTCCCAAAAGCAGCAATTGGAAGTGAGCATTCCCCTTCCTGTCCTGGTCTCCAGTGGGTCTGGGGCCTCCCTTGCCCTGGGAGCTGGATTCCACCCCATTTT